TTTCTATGAGTTCCCCCCTCCCAAAATATACACATTTTCAAGTCAAAAAGAACTGCAGTACATAAACACCGCTACCTAAGGCTTGTAATATAGAACAAAGTGGATAATTCCACAGAGCATGTGTGTACTATACTTTGTAATGTGTTTATATATTTCAAACATTTGCACTCAGCTTCTGATTTTAAGGAAGTGGCTAACTAAGAAAGCAATAAATTAACATTTTACGGCATAACAACAAAACATTAGAACTGCAGCAGAAAGTTACCGAATTCCACTGCTATTTTTGCTTATGGAACTTCCATAACAAAATACCTGGTTGGGATTCAGACCCTGCTTTTGGTATTTCCAGTGAGCAGTGCTATTTTTCTGGAAAAAGAGGTGCCAGAACTCAGCATCAGCACATCCCTTGTTCTCTTATAATGGCAATGGTGCCCACCTGAGAGGTGCCAGAACTGAGTTTGGGCTGGAAAAAAGCCCTGCCCTGTGAGTCTTTTGACCTTTTCCCTCTACCATATCACAAACATTCCCTCTAATGTTCCCTCTACCATATCACTCAGTTTTGAAAGAAGATTGTCCTGGGATATAGGGATGTGCTATTCAAAACCAGCTTAGGGAAGTTGATCTAGGTAATTAACACTGATGGACAGCATTTTCAATATTCAACTTCCTGGCACTTCAGTTCTCATCCAACACAAGGAAACCTTGAACCAACATTGGTGGTGGTAGTAGGACTACCCTAGCCAAATTCCACTGCATGTTATGATAGTTAACTGTCCCAGAACAAACCCATGAGTGTGATGTCAGAAGTGTAGCACTTAAAAACTCCAGGGAAGCAAGTCTCATTTAAAAACAACTATCATGGGGCCGCATTTTACTGCAATACTAGGAAAAGAAGCCCCCTACTGATCAGATAGATAGATAGATTTCTTCTTGGGACATTTTATGCCCCATGTGACTTTTTTTTAAAAGGCCTTACTTGTCAGGAATTTCATTGATTTCAACAGATTCAAAGCTTTCACTGGTTAGCTTAAATAAGACAAATATTTCTTACCATGATGCTATTTCATTTTCTTTCAGCTACATGTGATTTCCTTATAATCTGACATACACTTTGTTATGCATTATTAAACAACCAATCAACTTGCCCCTATAGTCAGCACTGTCCCTCCTGCTTATTTTTCTTCCCTTTTGATAAATTTACTTCTGTTTTCTATCAAAGCGATTAATCATTTCAGCTAGCAGCATACTGTTGACAATCTGAGTCAATGAACTTCAGCCATCTTAATCTTCTCTTGGGTAGTTTAAAATATGCTCAGAATTCACTCACAGGCTTTATTTATACCTCAGTAGAATTCCAATTTTCTAGAATAAAAATGAAGTCTCCAAGGAGCACATTTTTTTGATTTTAATAGACTTCTTTAATGGAATTTTAAGGGAATAAAGAAGAACAAACTGAGAGGGGCAGAATAACATATTTGTGCTTTTCAAGCAGAACAAGTTTTTACCAAGCTACATGGAAAGAATCCTGACCTGACAGATCTTCCATATTGTAAAGAGGAAGAAAAATGGAAAAGATCATGTTTTCTTGCAACTTCTAGCTATATTATTTCAGAACTATTTTTAGAAGTCTATCTTGTTTAGCCCACACTGCACTCTTGCTTCCTGTTTCAGGAAATATATTTGTAAATTATTTTGACTAACTCAACATCTGCTCTCAGATGTCTGACCTTGTCTCACTTTTAATTTTTGATTCAAAAATATAATGAAGTAGGATTGTTGTATTTGGCTGCAAGGCTTTCCCAGACACGCAACCTAATGTAACTAAGGAGATCCACATGTGGAAACCAGATTCTTTGTGTATATCACTTGCTAGACCAGGAATTACAGGTGTAAATGGAATGTGTATCCAAAGGAGCTTCCACATTGGGACTTAATATTGTAAACAGGTCATTTGGATGTCAGAAACTGCTCAACTTACCAGATTCTCCTGTCTTTCAGTACACATTGTATTCTACCATTGCTTCTAGAAGTTGCTTAATCTTATTGTTTAGAAGTTCTGTTTATTTGTATTTGCTGGCTTTATTCATATGTCTTTCAGCATTATATTTCACCATACTGCTCAGAAGAGGTTTTATCTTATTGTTATTTTTTATTTCTATATACCGTATTGGCCCAAATATAAGCTGCACCCGAATATAAGCAGCACCTTTAAAATTAGAAGGGGGGGGGAGAAATAAGGGGGAAATACCTGAATATAAGCCACTCCATTCCTTGCTGCTCATGGCTGCATACTGGGGGTGGGGGTCCGCTGTGTTCCCGGCCTTGGGGGAGAGGGCAGGGGACTATGCGCGGGGCGGGCACAGCTTTGCTGCGCCCCTGGCACTGTTTTGCGCCCCACTTGCCCCGTAAGGTCACCAATATAAGCTGCCCTTTAGCTTTTCATGGTCGGAATTTGGGGAAAAGGTGAGGCTTATATTCAGGCCAATACAGTAATTACATGTTGGTAAAATATGCTGAGTTTTAAAAAATATGGTCCTGACTTTTTACATATTGTCTTAGTTCACACACACACACACACACACACACCTCATATGACTGCGTCTGACAAGAAACATAAGGAGGTTAAACAAAGAGAACTAAATAATGCTAAAGGGCATCAATATGCTAAAGGGCATCAATCAGTCCTCCAGTTCAGCTATAGGGCAAGAATAGCTAACCTACCTCAGTCTAGTGAGTATCAACTTGAATTTGAAGACGTAATTCATGATTTTGCAATGAAAAGGGCAGGGAAAATAACGTAAATGGTTCCATTTATAAAATGTTTGCGGTAATGCTATGTTAATTAGAATTTTTTTAAAAATCGAAACATGAACAGGATCATGATAATGTCATGCCACTGGACACGGCAGAATTCCCATTCTTCCTCTCCCTCCTTGCAGCTCCCCATGCTTTGCTCCTGTCCAAGCCTGACTTAATGGGGTCACACAGCTGTAGCTTCAGGGTTCTGGATTGTGTGGAGGCCTCACACAACCTTCCCAGGACCCCAGTAAGTGAGATCTCACCAGAGCCTAGAAACCACCTCTCCTCCATTGGTAGCAGTGGTGTCCCCCCGCTGAAGTGCCCCTTGGATTCTGCTGCCTAAGGCAGCTGCCTCAATCTGCCTCATGGACAGGCCAACCCTGCACCCAATGCCTTTACCAACCAAAAACTTAGAAAGTAATATGCAAGATTTGCAGGACTATTCTCCAAGAAAGAGAGCAAGATGGGTGAGGCGGGATGGGCCATAGCAGAAAAGCTCCAGTGTATGTCACAATGTAATTTCAGAACTAAGATTAACTTTTTCCCAAATTTAATGAAATTGTGTGTCTGGCGTAAGATTGTCAAATGCGTGTGGCAGGGGGCCTACACTACAACTTTGTATTTGGCCCCAAAATAATGGTGCCTTGTACTTGATTAAGTCTTTCATTCTAATTCGCTTATTTTCTTACTTATTTGCATTTTTACTTTATGCTTGTATTTTCATGGACTCACTTGCTCTTCCCTTACTTATCCTCCCAAACTTCTCACAGTGGTACCTTGGTTTTAGAACAGCTTAGTTTATGAACAACTTGGAAACAGAACGCTGCAGGTGTTCCAGTTTGTGAGCTTTGACTTGGAAGTTGAACATGTTCCGCTTCTTGTTGAGTGTGTTCCGTTTGTAAATTGAGTCCCCCACTGCTAATCAGAGGCTTCCTGTTGAGCTGTCGGCTGTTGAATCCCGAGCACCCATGCAACACAAAGGTGATATTTGGAGCTTTCGTTTTTGCTATTTTTTTGCGTTTTTGTGGCTTTTTCATTTTTTTGACTGTGACTTGTTCTTCGTTTTATGGGACTGACTTGTGACTGTGGCTTGTGACTTTGTTTTTGTGACTGTGGCTTGTGACTATCTGGAACCCAGTTCAGCTACTGATTGATTGATTGATTGATTGTGTGACTGCAGAAATGGATAAAAGCCCTCCTTCCAAACAATGACTATCATCAGTGCACGTAAGGAAAAAAATAATTTTAATTTTTATCATCTACAATACTGTCTCATTTATTTTATAGTACAGTACATTGATTATTGCTTTCATTTTATGAACCAATGGTCTCGTTAGATAGTAAAATTCATGTTAAATTGCTGTTTTAGGGGTTGTTTTTAAATGTCTGGAACGGATTAATCCATTTTGCATTACTTTCTATGGGAAAGCACATCTTGGTTTTAGAATGCTTTGGTTTTGGAACAGACTTCCAGAATGGATTAAGTTTGGGAACCAAGGTACCACTGTATTCACTTTCCCATTTATTGACATGTTGCTTCATTACTTAAGAGGGATGGGGAAGCAAGAGAATACCAGAACAATATGAATTCAATAAATGCCAAACAATTATAATGCACTGAAGAGAAATGAAAGCATCTTGCTTGCAACTTATACAAGAAAATAATAATTAAAATGTGAGCTTTCCATAATACTCTTACAAGTGTAAGGTTTTCATAGAAACCTCGTGTGTCTTCAATTCCTGTCAGTAACAATTGGATTTAAGATATTTGGTGGAAGGAAGTTAGAGCAGCAACAGACATAAATCATATTCTCAGGTTAATGAACATACCATAAATTCCCCACATTCCTTTTAAGGAAAATGAAACACCAATGTTAGGGCCTTGTTTTCGTTTGTCTAGCCTACAGTGACATAATTGTTAAGGAAGACTCTCCGGGACGCTATAGGAGAACATTATTCTCTCTCCAATGACAATAGAACAGCAGCAGGAAACTCCTGATACCATGCAGATACAACTAAATCCAGTGCCATCTAGTGACTAACCACATCATGACAATAATCATATTGCCCATGCAACATATAGATTTCTCTTTTCTCTGGTCTTTATATTTCAAACTGTTGGTATCTGTTATAGAATGCCTGGGAAGCACCAAGTCAGATCAAGCATTAATAAATAATAGAAGGATAAACTAGAGTCCTACCCGTAAAATTTCTTCAACGCAGCTGTCATCTCCTTCCCCATTGTCCTGTAAACAAGGAGTAACACAGATATACAGTGAGAAATGATGGGTCTGCAAAAATGTAAATTAAGTAATTTTTTAAACAATGTTCATTTTGTCCCCATTTCAATAAGTTAGAATCATTGCTTAATGTACTTGATGCAGTTAAAAAACACCAAAACTGCAGTTTAACTCTAAGAGTTTGGATTTGATATCCCGCTTTATCACTACCCTAAGGAGTCTCAAAGCGGCCAACAATCTCCTTTCCCCTCCTCCCCCACAACAACCACTCTGTGAGGTGAGAGAGGCTGAGAGACTTCAGAGAAATGTGACTGGCCCAAGGTCACCCAGCAGCTGCATGTGGAAGAGCGGGTAATCAAACCCAGTTCACCAGATTACGAGTCCACTGCTCTTAACCACTACACCACACTGGCTCTAAGGCCATAATCCATCAGAAGCCTTTTCTGTATAAGCACTGTTGAAATGAAGTGACTGTTGCTGTGCTTTACTCCAGTTGCACAGAATTTCTCAATAAATTGTCCCTTTCATCACAAAATAAAATGAAGGTGGAATTAAAGGCCAGAACAACTTTTACTAAACAGAAAATGTTAAATTGTAAACATAATTTTACCTATTATACTCCTTTTCCTAAATGTTCATCAACATCACCTTGCACCAAGAGGAAACACATTGTACAACACAGCTGAGTAAGATACAGTTTGAAATGACACTGTATTAAGGGTGTATTCTGTTGAAGTAAGTATAGCATAATCACAGCTAAGAAGCTCAGATCAGATATAGGACTGACACTCTTCTTTGGAAATTAAACCAATGTCCAGACTTTAACATTCAAAAACTTTACTTGCAGAAACTTATAGCTATAGATGAATTATAACATAATATTTATAGTCAAGTGCTTATCCAAGCATGGGCTTACAGTTTCTTTTTCTAACTTCCAAACAACTATTTTCCTCTCTTTCCAAAGCTCAGCATTCAGCCTTCTGTGTCTCAGTTAGGGCATGCTTTGCAGCTTGTATGAGATCTCCACTTTTACCTTCTCCTACAGTTTTGTTCTCTTTCTTATGAGCAGAGAAGAAGCACTCCAACACTCTATTCAACTTAGCAGTGTTCACAGTGGATTCTAAAACATAGTCATCTTGCTTTGCACAAAACGGAGTCTCTCCTTCGCTAGATAGCTCCCATGTGACCAATGTTAGCCAATCACATGAGAACTACCAGACAACTCTCTAGAATTCAGTTACCAGCCAATCAAATTTAAACACATAGTAGTGCATACAAGCATTTACAATTTCAGTGATTTAAATTACTATACGTAACATAATGCTCATCCATCTCTGGTGGGATCTTGGTGAATTGTGTTTTAGAGCTGGGGCCACTGCTTTTCAGAAGTTGCCCGAGTCAGAAGGACAACGACCCCAGGGAAATTTGAATTTTGCTGCTGAACTGTATATTGTCACTTTTCTGATGTACTGGGCAGCATGTGGACTTTCCAACTGCTGTATTGGGATATTCCCTAAGCCAAAAGTCTTTGGGTGCCCAGAACACTTTCCTGTAAAGATGTGAGGAAACAACAACAGCTGATAACTTTAGATCAGCAGCTTCACACCTGAGTTCTTAAACAACCCCGGGGTGGATGTCATGAAGACCCAGCAGCAACTTGTTCAGGCATGAATATTTGTCAAATAACTTTCATAACAAAGACTGCTGCAAAAAAATCCAGTTACTCTGCAGTCTTCAGTAATGTTTTCACACATTTATTGGCTAATGGTCCAACCATCTTCTTGGCTGGTTTCTTCCTTCTTCTGTATTTAAAGACATTGTTATTGTTTGTCTTAATGGTTCCAGTAATATCTTCTTCAAAATAAAATTCACTTGCCTTCCATTTGTTCTACCAGTACTGTAAGTGTTCCTTCTCCCCACCCCCTCCTCATTTGGGGAAGACATTCGCTTTTTAAAGAAAGGCTTCTTGCTTCAAAAAGTCCTGCATCACAAAACAGTCTGGCTTCTAAAATGACCCAGTTTTCTGAGAGCTCCTGTCTTCCCCTCTAATTGACCTTTACCTGGCTAGCCTTTTACAGAGCTTGCAGGAGAGTGCTCCTGGTTTTATTGGAGGGGAGGAGGCTACTCTCAAGTCCCACAAGCCCTGACCATTTATTGCCCAGCAGTTTTGCTCTGAACCTCAAGATAAGATTCATTCAAAAGCTTATCAGTGCAGAGGTTCTGCTCTCTCAGCTAGGTTCAGAATGTTCAGAGATACTAAACTGTCTGAAATCTCAGAGGAAAATGGCTTTTACTGCTTTGTGGATGGAAAATGCCAGCAAGCACATTTTCTTTCCGTTCCTGTGATTTCTTCCTCTTGAAAAATAAAATAAAAGCTTCTGCTATAGCATGCTGGCGTGGAAAGAAAGTGCTTTCAGGTGGTACAAATTCACCTCATATTTGTGTGTTCACAAATATGACTAAAAATGTTATATAATGCTGAAGGATGCTGGAATATACTCGGAGTCAAGTGTGGATTTCATGCTCTTTATTCAGATCAGAGTAGTGAGGAATGTAAGTTCCCCTGAAATGTCTGCTTTATATACATTATTTACACAGTGGGCCCCACGTGATTGGCTAATTCTGGGATTCTCCTGTAGGCCAATCAGGTTGCGGATTCACTTCCACCCGGAGTTGGATTGGGTGGCTCCTACGGACCAATCAGACTGCTGCATTTTAGATCCTATTTAACTCAGTACATAACAGATGCACAGTGACTACACACTGATACATCCCACTAAGAATGAAATTATGCATTTACCGGAGAATAAGATATCTTGAAAACAGTGGGTCTGACATCTGTCTAGTCAGAAGTAAGTCCTACTTAGTTTGATGGGACTTACAATTAAGTGTGCATAGGACTGGACTAAATCACAAGCACGTGTGTATAGGATGATGGCTTCAACCCAAACCCAAAGGGACTTACTTCTGAGCAGATGTAAAAACATAAGAAGAGCCCTATTAAATGAAGCCAAAACCATCTTCCAGCTTCCTGTTTACACAATGGCCAACTGGATACTTATGGGGTGCCCACAAGCAAGATGGAATGCAATAGCCCTCACCCATGGTTTGGTGACCAGCAACTAAAATGCCTCCAGCAGTAGAACATAGCCATTGTGGCTGGTAGCCACACAGAGGCTTATATTCCATGAACTTGTCCAATCCCCTTTTAAAGCCATCAAAGTTGGTGGTCATCACTATGTCTTGTGAGTATAAATTCTATAGTTTAATTGTTTGATGTAGTACTTTCTGTTGTCTGTCCTGAATCTTCCAACATTCAGTTTCATTGGATGGCTTCAAGTTCTACTGCATGCATAATCTTACACACCTCTATCTTGTCATCCTCTACTTGCCTGTTTCATTAAACTAAAAAGCCTAAATGTTGTAACCTTTATTCATGGCGGAGTGACTCCAACCTGTTGGTCATTTGGTTGCCCGTTTGTGAAACCTTTCCAGCTCTACAATAGCGACCAGAACTGTATACAATATTTATTGCAAGTGTGCTCTCAGCATCATTTCGTATAATGGCATGATGATAATGGCAGTGTTGTTATTCTCAGTCCATTTTCTAATGATCCCTAACATGAAATCTGCCTGTTTTGCAGCTTCTGAGCATTGTGTGAACATCTTCACTGAGCTATCCACTATGATCCCAAGGTCTCATTCCTGGTTAATCACTGCCAGTTCAGTCCCCATTAGTGAATATATGAAAGTATGGGAATTTTTTGTCCCAACACCCATTATACTGCATAGGATTGTACTGTTACTCACTGGTAAAGGTGCATAGGTTTTATTTAACATATAGACAATAGCTCTTCAGAGAGTTGAATACGATATTGTAGAAGAGTAATTGTCAATGGTCCGTGTGTTCAATATGTCCACAGGAAAACAGGTTCGTATGCAAGCGCTGAGATGATTCTGGAGTGCAGACTGTTTCTTGTTACTAAGGCCTGGGATTTTTACACTGTGATTGAAACCTCTTAAGGTTAGGAGCGGGGGAAATGAAACCTCTTCAACCCTCTCTAGTTTTCCAGCAACATTGGAGTAATCAATTATAAACAGCTGCACTGATAATATTTCACTTTATAAAAGATGCCTGGGCACCTCCAGTGAAATGTTTTTTAGACATTCTAGCCAGGCATCCTCATAACTCTTTAACATTTTGCTCGTATAAAAAACACACACTGCAGTCCAGAAACAATAAGAGGAGATGTAATGGACTGGAACTGTATAGTTCTATTAATAAAATATAAGGCTTTTATTGTTATTGTGAAAGATTGATTGCAGAAAATCAATACTTTGTCACAGTATATTAATGCTTTTCTTATTTATTAAAATGGATGTTGAGCTGAACATATTCTCTTGCCACGCTGCTGGAAAATGGTCATAATTAAAACTGCTACTGCAGATTGCAGAGCTCATCCTGCTAGATGCTGTTGGATTCCTATCAGCACTCAGCAAAAGCAGGATATTCTCGAAAGTACCTAGGGCTTAGTTCCTTGCCTCTAAAAACACTGTCTTTCCAGAAGAGCCAGCTGGGCTTCTTTGAAAATGTATTTTGCATAGTACATTATCTGCTGCAACATGTTTATTAGTGCATTAATGCATGAATAATTGTTTGAAATAGATACCTATTTTTTCTGGAAAGTTTCCATAGAGGAAATTGGATCTTTTTCTCCTTGTAGCAGATAAACCTATTTGCACAGCATATTAGTGCCCAGCCTTAATAAAAACCAAGGTCCACTAGTGCTTTGCGTTTTCAAACCAATTTTATTTTTTTCTATTTAATTTAAAATATTTATGTCCCACTTTTTAACAGAAGCTTTCAGTTTTTAACGCTTTATTTTAAAAGTCAGCATTAAGCATATACAGTGCTTGTGGTTACTCAGAAATTTAAAAAATCCTCATGAAAATTCTTCAGCACTTTAGTGCGCATTTCTCAACACATACTTGTATACATTTCTGCG